ATCCTTATAAAGACAATGAAATAGCAAGAAAACAATTTTTAGTTCTAATAGAATAAATCTTATTCATAAAAACAAAGAAAGTAAGGGGAAAGGCACTGAAACTCTGAGGTATTAATTACTCCGCTTTTACATAGGGATAGGTACAGCAGTACAATTCTATGGTCCTTATATACACAAAGCTTCCGTTAACTTTTGATAAGTCTGCCTTCGTGAGAAACACAGAATTACTTTCTCATATATAATTTTTTTTATTAGTAAGAGGATCTCATAATGACACTTACACAGGCCCTACATTCCCATGCATGAGAATTCTCAGTGAAGTGACTTCACTTTTACTAAGGGAATGACTGAATTTTGTGCAGGATTCTCAATTCTTAATATATCAATAACATTAAAGAGTGCCCATTTTCACATGTACACCATAGAATACTACGCAGCCACAAAAAAGGATGAGTTCATGTCCTTTGCAGGGACATGGATGAAGCTGGAAACCATCATTCTCAGCAAACTAACACAGAAATAGAAAACCAAACACTGCATGTTCTCACTCATAAGTGGGAGATGAACAATGAGAACACATGGACACAGGGAGGGGAACATCACACACCAGGGCCCTATTGAGCAGTGGGGGGCTAGGGAGGGATAGCATTAGGAGAAATGCCTAATGTAGATGACTGGTTAACAGGTGCAGCAAACCACCATGGCACGTGTATACGTATGTAACAAACCTGCATGTTCTGCACATGTATCCCAGAACTTAAAGTACAATAAAAAAAAAAAGAGTGCCCATTTTATTTTCAATTGTTTAGATAAATGGGATTAAAGAAAATACAGTTATGCTAAAGGAATTTTCTACCACTCAGTTGCCAGTAGAGTTATGCATGAAGAATTCATATTAAGTCAAAAGAGAACAGAATGTATTTGAAAGCAGAGTTGACTCCCTTGATTCGATTTAACGAATGGAAATACTCAAGATTCAGGTCACTATGGACCCTTTTCCCTACTCAAAAAGAGACCCTCCCTATTAATAGCCATTAGAATGCTCCACATTTTTAAGTTTGCAACATCATGGCCTCATTGCAAATTGGATATTTAGGGAAAACTACATTTCCTTCCAAAGAAAATGTTTTTTAAATGCACAATTTCTCTATCATGCATTTTTTAAATAAGAAGAACAGAAAATCTAACTGTTTTGCAACTAGGCTCAGGCAACTGCCCAGGCAGCTTATAGAACTGATATCAACAGTTTTATGCCTGTCAGAAAATCATTCGAAAGACTTTTTTAATCTGAAAAATAACATCATCACTGTATATTCCACCCTGAAATCCGAAGGCAGGAATTACACTGTGTTGTTAAAATGTTAGCAAGTGCATTTCATTTTTTTAAAAGGCAATTTAGTTTTCCTGAAATAAAGAGCTGATTATATCTCTTATTACTGTTACAAGAATTTGATATATCGCAAAGTGAAAGAGTTACAGCATGTGTCAACTATCAACCAGGAAAAATGAACCTGATACATAATTCACTTTGAGAATGTCTAGTTAGTCAATCAAGTGATTTGTAATCATGAAGGCTGCCAGAAATTGAATGAAGAATGGGACACAGTAAAATTCTTAGTTTTTTGTTTTTTTTTTTTTTTTTTTTTTTTAGTATTCTTATTTAATTATGTGGCTTTTATTGCCATTTTTGATCACTGTTTCTCAGCAGCACAAATTAAATCACACATACTTACTTAGAAGTTTTTGACTACTAAATAGACTAAGGATATACAAGTTGAATGACCAGAGTATAGAATGTCTTCCTACAAAATTAAAGGTTTTAGTGTTTGCAGTTTGAACAAGGAAAATTTCATTCCTTCCAATCTCCTCCACCCTCTTCCCACTTCATTTGAATTACTTAGTATATATGCCACTCATTCTAACATGGTGTATTTCTATATATTCTAAAACAAGTGAAATCATTTAACAGAACCCAGTTAATATTAGAAACCTTAAGCTTCCTTTTAATATCCTCATTGTAATTCCTCAGTTAAAACTATAATATGACAGTCAAAGAACATTTAACTTCTAATTAATACAATCTCAGTAAATAGGCAAAATATAAAATCAACTTATAGCCTGATATATTACCAAAGGGGTAATGTGATAAATGAGTGTTTTTTGAAGTGTAAACTATTGAACCATGTAAGAATGTGCCATTCTGACAATACTGGCCATTATAAGCTTTTTCATCAGCACTGCATGACACGGAATTACACAGCTTTAAAGTAAATGAAACTTTAAATATGGTAACAAATGTGCTCCTCCTTTGATTTACTCTTCATAATTTTCAAGCAGAAGGGTCCTTCTCCAGCTTTAGACTGATCATAACACAAGATCTCCATAGAGAAAGTAACGGAGTTCTTAAACTCCATTATACTCATTATTGAAATTTAGTATTAATTTTTTTAATTCAGCTGTATAAATTTTGTGGGTAAATTTCCAATAATAAATGTTTGGTTTTTCAAAATAACAAAATTTCAGGCACACATTATACATTTACTCTAAGAAACTAGTATAATTATGGTGAGACCTTGGGAAAGATACTGTTTTCCACACTGAATATTCCCACGCTGAAAAGTGTAGCAGCACTCCACTTGGGAATTCACATTATCATCATTATCACACCAACTACTAGAATCACCTTTTCTTTCCTGTTTAACTTACTTATTCATTCATTCCACAAATGCTCATTAAGTAACTACTATTGCCAGGTATTATGCTAGAAATTGGGGACATGAAAAAGAATTTAAAACATAGTCTTTGTACTTGCCCTTAAGAAATCTACAGTCTAGTAGGAAGAAGACATAAGTAAATAAGAACAATGAAATGTAGGCTCTAGAAGAGATCTATATCTCGGAAATTTCAGTGACAGAGGTTAGTAGTCAAGAAGGATTTCAAAGTGTTCACCAAGTTCAATCTTGAATGAAAGTTGGTACCTATCAGAGAGCAAAGAGGAAAGCCTATAATGGTAAGAAGGAGAATATGAACGAAGACAAAAGCGCAAAATAGCTTATCATGGTAGGATGAATACAAGCTAGTCAGTTTAACTGGGGTTTAACATGTAAGAAGTACATACGATGTTGGGTAGTAACGGAAAAGGCTGCCAGAAGCCTCTTTCAAAAACAATTCATATTGATGGTTAGGCTAGTCCAATCATGTGAGGTCATGTACTTGTAGGATAAGGATCCTCTTCCCTCATATCTAAAAGTAGTTTTGACTTCAGTGAGCATCAGTCCTACAAATTTTTGACCTTGGGATTTGTTTATACTGTAAAGAAGAAAAGTTGAAAGATAGTAACAATTACAAAAAAAAAAAAAAAAAAAAAACAGGCAGGACACTAGCAAAGCAAGACTGTAAAGAAAATTTACTGTGACAACCTGACAATGGTGATAACTCAAGTGAAAGCAACTAGAATAAAGAGGGTCAAAGCAACATAAGTGACTGCAGCACGTTACTTATATATACTCACACATACATACACATACTTCATGATTATATAAGATTTGGTCAAATTATAAATGTAATTAGTACAGTAAAATGAAGTTATGATTACTAAATACTATTAAATGATATTAACCCTAAACTGCAGATAGCTATGTAGATATACTACTGACTCTTCTAATGATATTAAATATATAGAAGTCAAGCCCATCCTGGCTAACACAGTGAAACCCCGTTTCTACTAAAAACACAAAAAATTAGCCAGGTGTGGTGGTGGGCGCCTGTAGTCCCAGCTACTCAGGAGGCTGAGGCAAGAGAATGGTGTGAACCTAGGAGGCTGAGACTGTAGTGAGCCAAGATCACGCCACTGCACCCCAGCCTGGGCAACAGAGCGAGACTCTGTCTCAAAAAAAAAAAAAAAAAAAAAAAGTCAAGCACTGTATCTCTGGAATAGCAAACTTGCAACAAGCATTAACAACGGCCACCCGTAGACCAACTAAATAACCTATTTGAAAATGGAAGAGAGGCCGGGTGCAGTGGCTCACACCTGCAATCCCAGCACTTTGGGAGGCCAAGGCAGGCGGATCATGAGGTCAGGAGATCAAGACCATCCTGGCTAACACGGTGAAACCCCGTCTCTACTACAAGTACAAAAAATTAGCCAGGCATGGTGGTGGGTGCCTGTAGTCCCAGCTACTCAGGAGGCTGAGGCAGGAGAATGGTGTGAACCCAGGAGGCGGAGCTTGCAGTGAGCCAGATCGTGCCACTGCACTCCAGCCTTGGTGACAGAGTGAGACTCGGTCTCAAAAAAAAAAAAAAAAAGAAACAGAAAAAAAGAAAATGGAAGAGAATCTTTGCTGAAATTTCCTGGTATCAGTAACATACACCTTTTTTTTTTTTTTTTTTTTAAGACACAGTCTTGCTCTGTCACCCAGGCTGGAGTGCAGTGGTGCGATCTCACCTCACTGCAGCTTCCGCCTCCCAGGTTCAAGCGATTCTCGTGCCTCAGCCTCCCAAGTGAAGTGTTTTTAGTACAGACAGGATTTCAACATGTTGGCCAGGCTGGTTTCAAACTCCTGGCCTCAAGTGATCTTCCCGCCTCGGCCTCCCAAAGTGCTGGGATTACAGGCATAAGCTACCGCACCTGGCCTAGTAATACAGTTTTAAAATAAGTATACAACATATGTGATCAATAGGACTCTTTTCTAGTATATGTACTCAAATAAGAGTCATGAATTATAAGTTAGCTGGCATGTGTTATAAGGAGTGAGAATGGAGATGACAGATAGAAGTTAATCAAACAAATTTTAAGTATATTCATAGATAACAAATTATAACTTGCATTATTTTCCACTGTTGTGTTGATTTCTTTGTTGTCTTTTTGGCTCAAGTAATGAAGCATCATGGTTCAAGATCCCAATAACGTCTCATAAAACAAAGTTTAAGACAAATTGTTGTTTGATAACACTGCAAAGATAAAACATGATCTTTCACGTATGAAGATGACACTGACTCACCATCAATAGAGATGAGCTGCAAGTTGTTGTTCCATAGTGGAGATGGGCTTGCTGATCTAGCCAATTCTCTTGCCAAAGCTCCCAGTGAATGGCAGCTTACATCTGTAAGATGATTGTTACCAGTGGTCACAGAAAATAACAAAATAAAATGATCTATACAGAAATAAAACCTATGTTTTTGGTCCCAAACTACCATATTCTGATAAACTTTTAAAAAGTCACAGAAATGTATAAATACTGTATGATTCTTTCATTAAAAATTATACATGTAGTTACTCTGATCAATTCATGGTATTGTATATATTACTTACATAAATACACAAATGATGAAAGCCTGATCCCCTACCTAAGAAGGTTCTCAGCTATCTTAACTAAAACAAAGATTGTTTCTGACTTGCAAAATCAGAAGTGTATAATGATGATGCTCAAAACATGAAAGCATGCCAACTTACATCCCTCATCACCAGTAGCAATAACTGAGGAAATTACAGAATATTTTTGTTAATTTTAGAAATATTCTCTATAGCATTAAATGTAATACGACTACAGCCAAAATTACTTTGACATTTCTTAGAATTCTGAAAAATACTTCCATTTTTTATGAAGAAAAAATACTTTAGTTACTAGCTACAGTGTTCATTCTTGTTAATACAGAGGTTTTACAATAAAATAGTTCTACTGACTCCTGATATGGAATTTTATCAGTTTCTAGTTGAATCTCCTTCATAAAATTGAGAAGCTGATAAAATATTACTGGAAGACATTGTTTGTAAGTAAAATTAATGTTACATGCTTCTTTATTATTTGAAAGAATAAGAAATTAGATTAACAACTTAAAAATTAATAAGAAGCCATTAAAACTGGATACAAGTCAAACAAAATCACAATGCTAAGTGCCTATGATGAGCAAGGCAGTATTTAGAGGTTCTGTGAACAATTATAAAAATAACAAGGCATAGAACATAACCTCAAAGAAATAACAATTTAGATATTATTGAAACATTCTTCTTTCAGTTCTCCATAGGTTGTTTACAAAAACAACAGCTAGATTCTAACCCAGATCCTCTGTTAGGACAGGAAGGATGATGCAGAAAAGTACAGCATCACCTACCACGGCATGGTAGCTACCATAAGGATGCGGCTCTGGAGCTCCTCTCACATACGGAAATAAGGAAATTTTAATAGAGATATTGAGAACATCTGCTGCAACCTGTGATGCAAGCCCACTGCCACCTGCAAACAAATAAAATTCATTAATTTTAAGATACCATATAAACATTTCCAGTCACAATTCTGTTTTAATGGGTCATGAAGCAAGTATATTCTCAACAACTTTCCATTATCATACCCCACCGATTCACCAAAATTGGATGTCTTCCACTAGATTGCAAACTCCTAAAGTTCCTCTTCATTTTGGTTTCCAATTTCTACAATGCCTAGCAGCACAAATAACTCAGTCTAGTAAGAAATTAAGATTAAAACCGGCTACTAAAATACTCTGTAACCAGTTCTATAATAAGTTTTATAGAAAGTACTACAGACACTAAAATGAAGGAAAAACTGGCTTTAAAGAATGAGTAGCTGCTGAACAGAGAGACAAGCAGAGAGAAAGCATTCTTAGTGGGAGAAAGAGGTAAAAAGTTAGGGAGGTACAAAAGGGCACACAATATTCTGAGAATTTCAAGTATTTTTTTGGGAAAGCAGCAAATAAGAAGACAAAGGCATGAGAAAGATAACGGAGATGACTTATATGCTAAAAAGCTGAACCTGTATCCTGACTAAAGAAGTGAAGACAGGAAAGTGAAGTGATCAGGAAAAAGATCTTGACAGCCATATGAAAGATGGGAGGAAGAACATGACTGAAGGCAATGGACTAAATCACACAAGACAAAGCTAGCTTGACCTAATGGTATATGGAGTTATGGTGACCCAACTCACCACCAATGACCATTAGGTCTGTTACCCACTAAGTCGCAAATCCAGGTACATATTTAGACAATACTATAGACACTGAGTTATTTTAGAAAACTGTTTATGTAATATAATCTCAATGAAAAAAAATGGCAGGAATTCGACACAGGAATATCAACGTGAAAATATTAATAATGAGTAGTAGGATTAGAGGTCATGTTTTTCTTGTCATATATTCCAAATGTTCTACATAATAAAATTAAAAATAAATTCTACAACAATTTCTTGAAGCTGTGATAGCTAAAACTTGCATTAACCCTAAAGAGCCTCACCCAGGATCACTTGACAATATAATTGGGCCCAAAGCCTTCTTCACCACCACAGCTCACTATGCCTAAAATATTTATTCCTACATCAGGACTTTACCCCATGTTCTTTCTGCTTCTGTAGCAGCCTCTGGCCCCGAATGCCCATCTAAATCTCAACTTCATCATACCACCAGTTATAATGATCTCATACATGCATTATCTGCTCCATACATTTTCACATCCAATCATATGTAATTTATTGAAAACCATCTTTAGTAGTTCTCCTGTTTGTTCTTACTACAGCTTTTATATAAGAACAGACTAGTGCAAGTCAGTCCTATTCCAAAGCAAATATTCATACATGACTCATTTATGGACATATGCACATATAATTATTCCAATGTTTTGATAAACAAACTTATGTATATAACCACTACTAAAGAGTTTTCAAATCTATCTTCAGAAAAGTTGCCTACTGTTATGAGTTGAATTGTTTCCCCCCAAAATATGTTGTAGCCTTAACCTCCAACTCCTGTGAATGTGACGTTATTTGGAGATAGGATCTTTGCAAATAATCAAGACAAGACAAAATCATTAGGGTGGGCCCTAATCCAATGTGACTGGTATCCTTATAAAGAGGTACATTTGGACACAAAGACAGACATGCACACAGGAAGAACTCCATGTGAAGGCAGAGATCAAGGTGATAGATCTATAAGCCAAGGAATGTCAAAGATTGCCAGCAAACCACCAGCAGCTAGGAAAGAAGCATGGAACAGATTCTCCCTCATACCCCTTAGAAACAACCAACACCTTGATCTCAGACTTCTATCCTCCAGAATTGAGAGACAACAGATTTCTGTTGAGTCAGCCACCCAGTTTATGGTATTTTGTTATAGCCTCCATAGCAAAATAACACAACTACTAAGGGAAACCATGATTTCTTTCGCTGAAAGTCACTAAAAACAAAAACATTTGTAAGATTACAAATCAAAAAAATATCTTGCTATTCATTTCTCACTCTGGTAGCAAATGTGCTATTTAATAGCTAAGCCAATCTAGTGCCAAAATCTTCTAAGAATAAACATGATTCATCCTTCATCCTATATAGTATCATTTACACAGACAGCATCACATAATCAAACATTAGAGAATGTAATCATTCTATAGATATTAGGATAAGAGAGTAAAATAAAGTTATATAAATTTTTCTTGGTAATGGGTAGAGTTGCTTTGTGAATTTTCATGCTGTGAAAATGTGATCTGACCCATAATACAACCAAAACATAGTATAATGAGTTACTTGATGAGCAATAATCTTGGTACAGACTAGGAATGGGCTCCGAAGTAACACATACTTCAATTCAAATCCTTGCTCTGTTACTCACTAGTTACAGGCATATCTTGAAGATACTGCAAGTTTAATTCCAGATCACAGCAATAAGGCAAATATTGCACAAAGCAAGTCACACAAATTTTGTTTCCCAGTGCACATAAAAGTTATGTCTACACTATAATGCAGTCTATCAAATATGTAATTACATTATGTCTAAAAAACTATGTACACACCTTAATTTAAAAACATTGCTTAAAAAAATGTGAACGATCATCTGAGCCTTCAGTGAGATGTAATCTTTTTGCTGGTGGAGGGTCTTGCCTTGAAGTTGATGACTGCTGACTGATCAAGGTGGTGATTGCTGAAGTTCGGGTAGCTGTGGCAATTTCTTAAAACAAGACAACAATAAAGTTTGCCCTACTGATTGACTCTTCCTTTAATGAAAGATTTCTCTGTGGCATGCAATGCTGTTTGATAGCATTTTACCCACAGTACAGCTTCTTTCAAAACTGGAGTCAATCCCTTCAAACCCTGCTGTTGCTTTATCAACTAAGTTTATATAATGTTCCAAATCTGTTACTACTTCAACAGTGTTCACAGCATCTTTACCAGGAGTACATTCCATCTCAAGAAACCAGTTTTTTGTTTTTTTTTTTTTTTTTTTTTTTTTGCTCATCCATAAGAAACAACTCATCCGTTCAAGTTTAATCATGTAATTACAGCAATTTGGTCACATCTTCAGGCCCCACGTCTAATTATAGTTCTCGCTATTTCTACCACATCTGCAGTTACTTCCTCCTCCAAAGTCCTGAACCCCTCAAAGTCATCCATGAGTGTTGGAATCAACTTCTTCCAATATCTTGTCCATGTTGATATTCTGAGATCCTCCCATGGATCACAAATGTTCTTAATGGCAGCTAGAAGGATGAATCTTTTCTAGAAGACTTCCAATTGATTTTGCCCAGATGCATCAGAGGAATCACTACGTATGGCAGCTATAGCCTTATAAAATGTATTTCTTTTTTTTTTTTTTTTTCTGAGATGGAGTCTTGCTCCTGTCTCTTATACACATCTAGATGTGTATAAGAGACAGGAAGGGGAGGGATCTCGGCTCACTGCAACTTCCACCCCCCGGGTTCAAGCAATTCTCCTGCCTCAGCCTCCCTAGTAACTGGGATTACAGGCATGTGCCACCATGCCCAGCTAATGTTTTGTATTTTTAGTACAGACAGGGTTTCACCATGTGGGCCAGGCTGGTCTCGAACTCCTGACCTCAGGTGATCCAACTGCCTTGGTCTCCCAAGGTGCTGGGATTACAGGCATGAGCCACCACTCCTAGACTCAAAATGTATTTCTTAATTAATAAAACTTGAAAGTTGAAATTACTCCTTGATCTATGGGCTATAGAATACATGTTGTATTAGCAGACATGAAAACAATATGAATCTCCTTGTATATCTCCATCAGAGCTCTAGGGTGGCCAGGTGCATTGTCAAGGAGCTGTAATAGTTTGAAAGGAATCTTTTTTTTCTAAGCAGCAAGTCTAAAACAGTGGGTTTAAAATATTCAATAAACCATGTGATAAACACATGTGCTGTCGTCCTGACTTTGTTGCTCTGTTTAAAAAGCAAAGGCATGGAAGATTCAGCATAATTCTTAAAGGCCCTAGGATTTTTGGAATGGCAAATGAGCATTGGCTTCAACTTAAAGTCACCAGCTGGTTTAGCCTCTAACAAGAGTCAGTCTATCCTTTGAGGCTTTGAAATCAGGCATTGGACTTCTCTGCTCTAGCTACGAAAGTCTTAGATACCATCGTCTTCCAATAGAAGGCCATTTCATCTACACTGAACATATGTTGTTTGGTGTAGCCACTTTTGTCAATCATCTTAGCTAGATCTTCTGGGTAACTTGCTATAGCTTCTACAGCAACACTTGCTGCTTCACCTTATACTTTTATGTTCTGGAGACTGCTTCTTTCCTTAGGCCTCATGAACCAACTTCTGCTAGCTTCAGTCATTTTCTCTGTAACTTCCTCAGCCTTCACAGAATTGAAGAGAGTTAGGGCTTTGTTCTAGATTAGGCTTTCACCTAATACTGTGGCTGATTTGATCTTCTATCCAGACCACTCACACTTTCTCTACAATAAGACTGTTTTACTTTTTTATTGTTTGTGTTTTCCTTGGAATAACACTTTTAATTTCCTTCAAAAACTTCTTTTGCTTCCACAACTTGGAGGTTTGACACAAGAGGCCTAGCTTTTCGCCTATCTTCACTTTTGACATGCCTTCCTCACTAAGCTAAATCATTTCTAAAAGCTTTTGACTTAAAGCAAAGGAGGTATGACTTTTCCTTTCACTTGAACACTTGAAGCCCATTTTAGCGTTATTAATTGGCACACTTTCAATCTTCCTGTGTCTCAGGGAATAGGGTGGCCCAAGGAGAGAAAGAGGAATAGCTGATCAGTGGAGCAATCAGAATACACACATTTATCAATTAGCTTTGCTGTCTTCAATGGGCTCAATTTGTGGCATCTCAAAATAATTACATTAGTAACATCAAAGATCACAGATCACTCTAACATATACTCTAACAATGAAAAAGTTTGAAATAGTGTGAGATTTGCAAATTATGACACAGAGACACTAAGTGACACATACTGTTGAGAAAATGGCACCAAAACATATACTCTATACAGGGTTACCACAAACCTTCAATTTGTAAAAAACATAGTATCTGTGAAGCACAATAAAATGTAACACAATAAAACAAAATATGCCTGTATTATGACTTGAGCAAATTATTTAACCATGTTTGAGCCCCAAACTCTTCATCAATAAAATGGTAGTTTTACATTTTATAAAAACTGAAGAAATTAGATGATATATGAAATGTGCTTAACATATAATATTATTAATAATAATAATAGGGCTTTACTATTTTTATTAAAAGGAATGTTTATAAATTAAGGATTTTTTTACACTTCTCTTGGGTAGGAAAAATAATTAAGCAAGCTCATGTAAGAATAAACATCTTGATCACGTATACTGTACACTAAATATTGCCTTTGGCTAGTTCCTGACTATAAAATGTAGGACTTTCCGAATTTTAAAACTATTTGTCAAAACTCAAAACACATTCAAAACCTAATCTTGGAACTAAAATACAAACAGGATCTCAGTGACTTTTGACTTTGCCGTTGACATCAGTTGGTATGCAGTTTTCAAAGATCCACAACACCACTCCTTTATTCCCTCAAATCTGTAAGCTTTAGCCAGTCCAGAAAACTTACCTTTACAATTTAGAGTCATATCAATTTATCATACCAAATAGGATGGTATAATCTACTGAACCTTCTACCAGGAATTAGCGATGTGTTTGCTTATCTCTTCTAAATACAAATCTTGTAAAATATACATCTCAAAAATCAGCTAATTGAAGAAAATACACATTTTGAATTCACATACTTATTTTGAGAAATATTTAAATAATGCAAAACCTAACAAATCACCAAATTCAAAAGGACCTTGTTATACCATGCAAACAATCTCCACAAGATACAAATTATATTCCCATATGAATTTCAATATCTGTAAACTGAAATTTGCTCCTATATCTACATATAAAGAAGTAGAACAAATTGCACAATTAAGTCCAGAAAGACTCCAATTATTATGGAAAGAATAGTGGTATTTTTGTCAACCTCTTTGTCTAAAAGAGCTATCTGATGGCCAGGCGTGGTGGCTCACGCCTGTAATCCCAGCACTTTGGGACGACGAGGCAGGCGGATCACCTGAGATAGGGAGTTCGAGACCAGCCTGACTAACATAGAGAAACCTCGTCTCTACTAAAAATACAAAATTAGCCGGGCATGCTGGCTCATGCTTGTAATTCCAGCTATTAGGGAGGCTGAGGCAGGAGAACGGCTCGAACCTGGGAGGCGGAGGTTGCGGTGAGTTGAGATCGCGCCATTGCACTCCAGCCTGGGCAACAAGAACAAAACTCCATCTCAAAAAAAAAAGAGAGAGCTATCTGCACTGGTCAAACTTGTTGGAAAATATATCAACAAACCACTTCTCCTAGTTAGAGAGATAATTATTCTTAGCATCTTTTTAAAAACTTTGAGGAGCTATAAAAACATGTTCAATACTATAATAAGTTCAACAATATTAGCATCAGCATCAAAGCTAATGTACGGTCAAGACCAAACATAGGTTTGTTTTTGTTTTTTAATATTTATGAAAACAGGCCAGGTGCAGTGGCTCACGCCTGTAATCCCAGCACTTTGGGATGCCAAAGCGGGAGGTTCACTAGAGCCCAGGAGTTCCAAGACCAGTTCACGCAATAAAGTCAGACCCCGTCTCTACAAAAAATTTAAAAATTAACTGGGCATGATGGCACATGCCTGTGGTCCCAGCTCCATATGAGACTGAGGCGGAAGGATCACTTGAGCCCAAGTGGTCAAGGCTGCAGTGAGCTGTGTTCACACCACTGCACTCCAGCCTAGGCAACAGAGACCCTGTCTCAAAACAAAAAACAAAAAAAAATTTATAAATATATATGTGCATAGATACACATATATACAAATTTATAAATATATTTATACACATATATATTTATGAAAACATGTTTTGCCTTTATTCTTAGTGTAGTTCCTAACTTTAAAACAGACTTTGTTAGTTGAGTTTTCGAAATATGAATGTGCTTTTTGCTCAATTAAACAACATAAAGGTCACTTTTCAGAAAACAATGTTATTTGCAAGAAGATAACTAAATTGACACATTTAATTTAAACAAAATATTTTGAAGTATTAAGAAAAACTCTAAGACTTTTTTTTTAAGTACTGATTTAAAGTTAGCAAATATGGCTGGGTGTTATAGCTCACACCTGTAATCCTAGCACTTTGGGAGGCCAAGGTGGGAGAATCACTTCTGACCAGGAGTATAAGGCAACATAATGAAACCCGTCTCTACAAAAAAAAAAAAAAAAATGAAAATAAAATAAAATAATAAGATAAAGTTAGCAAATGCTATATTCTATTTATTCAAGATACATACTAAATAATACTATAATTTGGGCTGTCCCCAAATTACAATTCCTATCTCCCAAGCTTCCCAGGCTAGAGCGCAGTGGAGCAAACTCAGCTCACTGCAGCCTTGACCTCACCAGCTCAAGTGATCCTCCCACCTCAGCCTCCCAAGGAGATGAGTTCACAGGCAGTGCCACCACGCTGGGCTAATTATTGTGTGGTTTTTTTGTTTTGTTTTGTTTTGTTTTGTTTTTTGTAGAGACAGGGTTTCAACATGTTGTCCAGGCTGGTCTCAAACTCCTGAGCTCAAGCATCCGTCCACCTCAGCCTCCCAAAGTGCTGGGATTACAGGCATGAGCCACCACACCTGGCCTCAATTCCAAGCATTTTTTCAAAAAGTGAACAGCAAGGAAAAATTAAATATATTTTATTTTTATCTTAAAGTCCCAATATAGTAATATTAATAAAAATCACATGAATACATTATACTAAGAAAATATAATCTGTTAAATTATTGGCAAAAAACCGTATCAATTATTATGGATAGTAATTGGGGCAGGGAGTATGCCTTTATCTACTCCACATGCCTTAAGCATGATAAAAACTCAATAAATATGTGTTGAATATCTATACTTCGAGAACAATAAGCACAATGGTCACATAATTCTCTTGAGAATCAAATATGGAAAAATCCTAAAGAACTGGGAATTCAAAACAGGATATGAACAAATTTTTACATTATGCAAATCTAACATTGGTAAGGGAAAATTCTACCCCTTGTATCCACAAATTGTAAGTCACAGCTACAAATTTATGTATTGACTGTGTCAATGAAAAATATATAGCCAATGCTGGTTTTGAAATAATCTCAACTTGGTCTAAAGTGAAGTCATTAAGAACTGAGTAGAAACGGTGCATATATTTAAGCTCCTATAATCCTGGGATTATATATGGCCAAGAAAGAAAATTTACCACATTCTGTATTATTTCTGTGAACACCACACCACATCTCTATGGAGAGCTATAATAAATAAGAAAGTGAGGTAACATATATGAACTGCACGATGACTGTATATTCTTGTGTTTCACTAGGGTCTCTGGTTTTAGCATTGCTGGTTTAGTGGTTAAGTCTCAATATTCTTACCACCATCATCCTGGTTCATATTGTGGTCACGGAGAAAACAGGCTTATCATGGGCTAGTTTCATTTATCCACACCTTTTCTCTTGACTTTCATCTACCTGTTGGAGAAACACAGGGAAATTTAATCAGTGTAGAAAATTCCTTATATTACAGATATTTGCCAGAAATTTCTATTAGACAAAGAGTTGCCTTTTGAAATATTTTCACACACACCCCAAATAAGCTTTCCCAGACAGAAATGAAAAAAAAATACATTTAGTAAGTGTGAGCAAATAAAGCAATGCTTAAATAAAAGGTGTACTGAATACTGGTATCTCAATTACATTACATCTTTCTTCCCCAACTTAATATACTAGGGAAATTTTCCTATTAGAAGCTGTTGAACATGTAAGATAATTTGACCTAAAATACAGACAAATAAATGTGTCACCTGGTTTGCTTTTTAAAACACAACTACCAGGCCGGGTGCGGTGGCTCACGCCTATAATCCCAGCACTCAGGGAGGCCGATGTGGGCGGATCACGAAGTCAGGAGTTTTGAGACTAGCCTGGCTAACACAGTGAAACCCTGTCTCTACTAAAAAATACAAAAAATTAGCCAGCTGTACTGGCCAGGCGTAGTGGCAGGCGCCTGTAGTCCCAGCTACTCAGGAGGCTGAGGCAGGAGAAAGGCATGAACTCGGGAAGTGGAGCTTGCAGTGAGCGGAGATCACCCCACTGTACTCCAGCCTGGGCGACAGCGAGACTCTATCTCAAAAAAAAAAAAAACCTACCTTGAGAATATTTATAGCACAAACAAAGCTACTATTAGCAGCCTCATCCACCCTAAAGAGAATGGTTACTATTATAAGTTCCCAAGTACGCATTTGTAGAAGGAAGCAGTAGTTTATTAAACCAACTTTTTGATCTTGAAGCAACAGATTTGGGAAAAGATGGTTTTACAATAAAATATATAACTCCAACCTCCAGTTACATTGCTATTTTTTCATAGGACAGACATGGCACTGTGTGAATATTATGACTCAAGCTTAGTCATCTCAACTACGAGTGAATTAAATTTGTTAGAGTAAAAACCTGAAAGGGAAAGTACATGCATGAAATTCTAAGTTGCTATTTTTAGAATGGGGTTTTTCTCCAAAGAGATTTTAAAAATGTATTTCCACATTATTTGTGCTATTTTCACTTTAGTACTCTGGTATACTGGCTACTAAATAGAAACAAGAAACAAACCCATTTTCCAGTAGAAGGTCATTTATCATTTGAACATAGTATAAACTACATAAAAAAGGAAAAGTAATTTATTAAAGACCTGCTTGCTAAAACATAGAATTTTAGAGACATATACATGTAAAAAGACACTTGTGTTTATGCCCCTCTTATTTTCCTGGTATTATCAAAAAATTAACTGTAGAGTAAGAAGCCTAGTGAAAACCTCATTATATCTAAACTACTTTATTATATTTATTACATTGTATCTAAATGACTTTCCAGGAAAGTCCAGAAAACACAGAAGAGATTCACAGGCACTGCAGGACACACAGTATGCTAACCCTATAAGTAGCTTCCAGGCTGATAGGGCTTCAGTGGTTTTTCCCTACAGAAAAGATAGTCTGAGGAAAAAAAATCTCTGTTTCTCTATTCTCTCTCCCCACTCCTTAAGAATAATCAGAAAAAAAATGACAGGCAATGCAGAGTGAGGAAAAGACTACCTGAATGCAAGTCAGGAAAACTGAGTTTTATTCCCCACCTGTGACTTATTATACAGTCTTAGGTAAGTTACTTAGCCTTTCTTGGCCTCTGTCTTTTGTTTCATTTTGTTTCATATGGAACACAAGCAGCACTGAAAAAAACATTTTAATTACACCGAGAAGGAGAGCAGAGACCATAGAGACCTACCCCCAACTTCACAGGTGAGGACACTGAAACAGAGAAACATGCCCAGCCATAGGTGATTAGATTAAAACAGTTCTAACAACAGTCACAGGTCCAACATTTTAAAAATTACTTATTTAAAAAGACAAGTTATTTACGTCAAATTTTTAGAACATGTACAAAAAGTAAGTAGCAAAAAGGATAACTGCCAAATTTAGGGTAATTATCTCTTCAAGAAGCCATAAAGAAATAGATTCTGGAAGACTTCAATTGTACTGGTAATATTTTATTTCTTGAACTGGGTTTGGTGTACATGGATGCTTATTTTTCTTCATATAGCATTTTGTATGAAATACTTTCTAATCTTTTTTTATGTAACCACCAAAACATCTTTAATCAAAAGCTAAAATAAATGAAAACATTTCTCTGGAACTTTAAAGGTCAATGAAAATAGTTGTGTATGGTTTCAAATGCTCTGCTGAGTTTAAAAGGTAAATATCACTATGTCCCCCAATATAAGAGAAAAATGTGTAATGTACTAAAAATACATATACAACTATTTCTAATCTAACTTAGTAAAATATAAAAGTACTACACAAATAGCACAAAACACAAAATAAATTTTATTACTAATAGCATGATAAACCCGTTTAAGTATATTGAGAGACATACTTAACAATTTGTACTTTAAACATACTCAAGAGTCACATCTAGCAGCCTAGTGTTTCATCGTCAGATTGGCTAGCTGTTTTTATTGAAACAAATAAGAACTGCAAAAATTTACCTAAAGTAAGCAAAGGCCTATCTAAATATCTACATAGAACCATGCCTCCAAAATATCTGAAATTTTCCAACAAGAAAGTACAGGTCATTCAGCAAAATATATTTACTGTATACTACCATAATAGCTATTTAATTGTTATCATTATGATGCAGATATATAATGGAAACAGATGTTCCTTTTTCCTTTCAGCAAAGCAAAGGAAAAGCATAAACTTGCTGATATTGCATAGACTACTACCATAGCACAATAGAGGAAAAAAAGACATTAGCACATGACAATATTAGTTTTTACTACACAACTAATTGCATAAAAAGTATAACTTGAGGTCATTGAATCAATATAATTTTCAGCACTACAGAAGAGAAACAAATAGATTTGTATAAGCAGCCTATTTCACATCTGCAGTTGGGAAAATACTTCTGACAGATTAAATAAATGCAAAACGTTACCACTGCTTTTAGAACACAAGGAAAAGAGTGTTGTTCTGTTTTCTTTGCTCATGTAACATGAATTAGAATGCTGCCACTACAGAGGAATTTTTTTTAAGTAACAGTATAAATGCGTAGAACCTTTCTGGAAAACAATTGGGCAATCAATATCAAGAACCTTAAAAAATAGTCTATATTCTCAGTCTAAGTAATTTCTCTTTTAATAACATATTATAAGGAAATAACCTTAGGGATGGCTAAAGATTTATTTAAAATGCTATTCATTACAACTTACTTTATACTAATGGAAAATTAAAAATCTGAGTTGTCTAATAGAGCAATAATTAAAGTAGATATGTTAAAACATTATAGAGTCAATATAAACAACTTTAATAATTTTAATCATATTACATTACATGCTTAGAGGAATAAGGTTTAGAGAAGACACACAAAATGGCATTTCTAATTTTTGTAAATTCTGTCTTATGGGCATATACTACTACTTTTGTCAGAAAAAGTTATTTTTTCTTTAAACAGTTCTATTTCTGTGATCTGATATTCTCAGTCCAAAGTTTCTAAAATTCTTTGGGCAAAAGAGTCCTATAAATATTTACAGGTAAATTGACTTAAAGTTATGTTGACATGTTATGTTACTTGATTCTGAAATCTGGCACAGAAAAAGAAGTATTTGTCAATCACATAGACAACATCTTTTTTTTTTTTTTTTTCTGAGTTAAACAGAATCCTTACAAATTAGGCAAAATTTTTATGGAACAAACATTACAAATGCTTCCTTAAGATCTACTAATATGTAGTATGTTGCTAATTCAAGGAAACTTTCAATTAAAAATATTTCTAAAGCAAATGAAGTAGCCTAGTAATTGCTGTTTCCGTATGCCAGTAAAAAAGTTTGCCATAGCTTTCCTAAGACTCTTAGTTTCCTGATTTTATTTTTACAAGAAGCAGCTGATTTGTCTTACGCTATTACTGTCTATTACTTCTAGAAGTCTTGAGCAAAGGTGGGAAGCAGCAAATTCTGGCAATCTGCCTAAAGAGAAATCAATGAAACAAATTAATCCTTTGCAGGCTGCAATGACACAGTAATCCATCATTCAGAGCTGCTTTTATACACCAAATCAGAGAGCAGAGGAAAAGAGCCCTGGGGGATATCACAGGCAACAACTTACACCAACACTGGGAAAATACTGAGGAATCAGTTTATTTAAAGAGGATAGATTTCAGTTGATTGCCTATTTCGTCAAATAAAGATTTTTCTTCCACAGTGTGGTGAACCCAAGGGCCAATGACTGTATCTTCAGAATTCCGTACCATCTATGCTGGCTGACATCAATAGGAGATGAATGTTTTTAAATAATTAGCATCGTTAATCAGTATGGTAAAATATATGGGTAAAATAAATATTACTTTGTTGATCCAACTACAAAGTGTTATACGGGGTCCTTGTTTTCACCAGAAACTAAGTGTAAATTTACCCACTAATCTACAACTTAACGAATTCCTGGTAAACCATATTTGAGGTACTTCTTCATACATAAAATGTAACCATTTAAGATATATGTTACTTCCTAATGCTGTGTTAAGTTTAAAGACTTAAAATTTTTAATTCAAGCTCTTGTGTAAATTCCAGCAAGCAAGTCAGATTATAAATAAATGACTTATTTTAAAATGATAAATAATTATTTTGTTCATAATGTAGTTGACAGTGTTGGAAGATAAATGTGGTTTTCTTTTACAAATAAACTTATAATAAATGTACAGCAGTATATTTAAACTGACTATATTTATTTATACTTATACAAAAGCCTATGTATTTAAATTTATTTGTGCTTCTGTACAAAGTTACGCACCTTACCTAACCATGTCTTACTAGAGTAATGTATTCTAAGTAGAAGTATGTATCCTTGATGAAAACTAATGGCAAGAACTACAAAGTCACAGTG